CTGAGCTGAGCTAGGTCATCGTAGTCAGTGAGGAACGGGTTTATCCCCTTTGGGGATCCCCTAATGCCCCTCTATTTTGTGTGTGTGTGTGTGTGTGTGTCAGCCTGGGGCTCTTCCAGGCGTGACCGTCGGCCTAAGATTACAATGACTCTCGACTCGGCTCATCACCTATCATTAAGTTAAAATGATGGTGGACATTTATCATTAGAGCTTCGCTCGACACTATTTAATTTCGGAATATTTTAACCCCTAATAAATAATGGTGATGTACCCCAAAACAATAGTAATAAGAAAAAATTGAAAATAATAATCCCAACTATTGCCGGTCCGCTAACAATAATCTCAACTATTGATTATTTTTGTATAATCCCAACTATATGGACCGTCCGCCAATAATGATCCATGACCAAATATTACCTTCTATAAAAGTGAATTTTAAATAGAAATTAAGCTTAAAAATTAAAAGTTAGGCATAATTTATAGGGGTTACTCGCTATATCTCTTCTCATCCACTTTAGAAAGTACATAAACTTATTTACAGGGATTATTATTGGTGAAGGGTCCCTAAAATTGGGATTATTCTGAAATAATCGATAGTTGGGATTATTATAAACGGATTGACAATAGTTGAGATTATTATAATCAATTTTTCCGAGTAATAATACTATTTTAAAAACTTAGTAAATAAGCGAGAGGATGGATACTTAGCTCCTTTCGGTTGGGGCTGGGCCGCTCGGAGTTCCTGACTTGGGATAAGGTCCTTCTCATTTATTTTGACCTTGATCAATTTTTTCTACCAGTTCCAAGTGCCCAATTGGAATTTCTTGTTGATGATTTTCTTGAAACCGGAGAGCACCAAATCAGCCTATTTGATCTTGCCTTTTGACACCTCAATTGTAGGGCACATCTCTCCCCAACCGCCCATCATCAGCCGAACGTCAACAAGCCTGTGAAAGGCCGAGCGGCATAAAAAACAGGGCGGCTAGCTACCTTCAGGGGTCCAAAACCATTCCCGACCTCGAGCCTCACCAAATGCCAAGCGGCCGCCGGGTCGGAACTGCAGACCTAAGATCCTCCGAAGTCATAGTGAACAGCGGCCGAAGCCGAGCCGGTTCTGAGACTGCACGACGCCATAACACTGAAGGATCTCAACCCGAGCGGCAGTCCTTCGTCAGTAAGCTTCCCTCGCTTGGGAAAAGATAACCGGCATTAGACAGCAATCTAAGCGTGTGTACAAGCGTCGTATAATCGAGTTACGTCACCCGCGAGTCAACTTCACTAAATCATACAAGGCGTTCGAGAAAACAATCCATCCATATTCAGTAGTAAACATACATAACAACATCACAAATCAAACCATTGAATAGCGAAAATATTCAGTAGTGATTCATAGGCCTCATTCAGCCAATAACACGGGCATGTAAGCCCAAAAGTAATTTAAAACAAATAAAAATATCCATGAGCAATGTTTATTAATTTGGAAGAACATGAGGAAGCATGAACCACGTCTTCCTTGAATTGGATGTCACCCGTAGAAAGGTGCAAGTAGCAAGCCCTAGCTTCAACCTGAAAATGGTGTCCCCTGAAGGGGTCAATACAAGTACCGAACGAGTACCAGACTAAATATAGAATAATTAGTGTTTCAAGTATAAGACTCAAACATAGGGTGATACTTATGTAAATAGTCCTTTCCTCCAAGTTAAGAAATACTTAATAGTATATATACACTTGGAAAATACTCGATCCATAGATCGCCATTTTATTTGGGGAGAATAGTAATACTCAATATTCTTGACTAAAAACCCCAACCTATCCATATACTTATGAGTGTATAGGACTCCTCGTTATCCTTATTTCAATATCATAATCTATGAGTTTTGAGGATAACATAATCCTTGGGTACTCCACCAATTTATATTTGAGTATTAAGGACTTTTAGTCCTAGGGTCCTCCACCAGTTTATAATATGAGTGTTAAGGACTTTTAGTCCTAGGGTCCTCCACCAATTTATAATATGAGTGTTAAAGACTTCAAGTCCTAGGGTCCTCCATCAATGTATAATATGAGTATTAAGGACTTCAAGTCCTACGCTCCTCCACCAATTTATAATATGAGTGTTAAGGACTTCAAGTCCTAGGGTCCTCCACCAAGTTTACAATCCAATGATCAACCTCCTATCATCCTAGATAGAGTCTATATCATATTCATAGCTAAATAAATCCACAAAGCTTATGTATCTCAATTAATGCAAAGTCATGCATTTATATAAATTTATAATTAACTAATACAACCGATATTAATTAATCCATCACCAATCGGTCAATGTTTTCGTTAGTCGTCACTTCAATCCTTATACATATCAACTTAATCATCATATATATTAAGTTAATAGTATTCATTCTATGCTTCCTCTACCTTTCAAACATAGCATGCAATTTCATAGAAATTCTCATATCATATTCCATGCATATTCATGTAATTCATTTCATACATGCCTAATCGTTTTGGCTAATCACATGTTTAAATATCTTTTAAGCATCATTATGAATACATATAACATTTATTTAGGTAATTTCATAATTAACTCAAAAGTTATAAGATATTAAGTCGTCCACTTACCTTAAATGAGCTATAGCGTGTTCTACGCTTCTCGGTTGAACTCCGGCGAACTCCGGCATACTCTAGAAACTCTTTACTTAAGTTCCTAACATGGTTTTATCATCACAAAACCCATATCAACACAAATAACCTCTAAAAGGTCATTTTCCGGCGAACCGGTCATTTTAGCTTCTAAGTCTGTTCTTGAACTTAGAACTACCTTTCAACCCCTCATTCTACACTTCTAAACATGTAGAACAAGCCTAGGGGTTCCTCAAATGATATGTAAGTCATATGATAGCTAAGAAGTAGAGGAAAAGTTATTATGAGGTCATTACCTTAATCCTTCACATTTTTCCTAACTTTTTCCTTCTTTAATCTTCCTCTTTGGACCACTATAGCTTGAGCTCGAATTTGAGTGTGAAAATGGTGAGTTGCAGAGCTTCCTCTTGCGGTCTTTGTGTGCTTGGGTGGATGAATGGAGGTGGTGAGGGGAGAGAGGTGGCTTTTGTCTCATTTAGACAAATGAGTGAGGTGGAGGTCCACCTTTGGTCCTTTCTCACCCAATACATCACCCTCAGCCCCCCATTCTCATTATTCACATCCATCCTTTGACAATCTCAACACCCAAAAACGTGGGGTGGCCCCCACTCGCGTGGGAGGTCATCCCTTTGTGTCCCGAAATGTACAATCGGCCCCGAAAGTTGTATTTTTCGGACTGTTTTAATTATATTATATTTTATCGGGCTAAATAAAATATAACACATGTCCCTACTCATTGTAGGACTTTATAATGGATGTACATTCCCCAACTTTAATTCGTTTCGGACTGTTATCCGATAAATTACCAATACCGGTAATTGGGCCTCGTTTGACCGACGGGTCAACCCTATGCCCTTTCTATGGCCCAACTAAAATATGTACCATCATATAAATATTATCTATTCCAAGATGAATATAATATGTGGTCCCGGGATTATCGGGTGGTCCTTGCCCCCGATGTGGGCCCCACGTGCAATGGACTATTCACGCAAAAGAATTAACAAAAATTTTCAACCTCATAAATTCATAAATCATTATGTAAGGTTTATTACATGAGTTACTAAAAAGTAAACATACTTGGGGATGGTGTTACAAGTTCACCCCCCCTATTTGGGATTTCATCCCCGAAATCAACATGTCTAATCGAAATGAAACTGCTATTGCTCCCTCATTGAGACCTCGGTGTTCCAAGTTTCTTCTTCGACTCGATCACTCCTCCAAAGCACCTTCACCATAGGAATCTCCTTGTTCCTGAGCTTCTTTATCTGCTGACCTACTATCTTCACCGGTCCCACTGCATATTGTAAGTCCTCTCGGATCTCTACCGGTGGTCTCTCAAGAATATGTGACGGATCTCGTACATACTTCTTGAGCATGGATACATGAAATACGTCATGTATCTTCTCGAGTTCAGGGGTCAATTTGAGCCGGTAAGCCACAACTCCAATCCTTTCAAAGATCTCAAACGGACCAATGTATCGGGGGATATGGACTAGAGCTCGGCGTTGTCCAGACGTGGCATTGCGCCATCAATTTAGGGAGCTGTCATCCTTCCAGACCGCGAGATATGGACTAGAGCTCGTCGCTGCGAGATTCGTATGAGAGCTCGGCGGGGTCGGAAGCGAGAGGTGCTCGACCAAGGTCAGGGTCGTCAAGTAGCCCAGCCTTCGGCGTTTGCGCCTCAATTTAGGGAGCTGACCACCTTCCAGACCGCGAGATATGGACTAGAGCTCGGCGCTGCGAGATTCATACGAGAGCCCTGCGGGGTCGGAAGCGAGAGGTGCTCGACCAAGGTCAGGGCCGTCAAGTAGCCCAACCTTCGGCATTGCGCCTCAATCTCCCCTAGCCTTCAATGCTAAAGGGGGAGACGAAATTTCGTGGGGTGCAAGGACTTACAAAGTTGCCTCAACCCAAAATTCGGGAGCCGCGTTGGGCTACTATCCCTGTTTGTTTTGTGAGGAAGGAACAAGGACTTATATAGATGCATTGACTTCTCTCTTTGGGGAGCCGCGTGGGGCTGTTGTCCCTGTTTTGTTGAGGGCTTACAATGTTTCCTCGGAGATCGGGAGCCGTTGAGGCCATTACCACTGGAGATTTGAGTGCTTATAAAGTCGCCTCAGAGGTTGGGAGCCGTCGAGGCTGTTATCCCTGGAGATGTGATGAGCTAAAATTTGTGCTTCATCTTAATGGTATTTTATCACAATTCTATGCTTATTAGAGAGGTTTGAGTTATGTTTTATGTTAAAATGCATTTTACGGTGCAAGAGTTTTAATTGCATGATTTAAGAAATCTTTGGACTAAATTGAGAAGATGATAAGTTGATGGAGTTGTCTCAAGTGGAGTTCCAAATCAATAAGTGGAAAATTGCAAATAAGGCCATATCTTATTCTTACGCAGAAAAAAAAAAAAGAAAAAAAAGAGAGGATGGCTCCTCTCTTGAGTCACGTACCACCAACCCAAATCCAAGAAAAAAAGAAAAAAAAAAAGCCCAAGAACAAAACGGAAGTTGGAAATGGTTTAGGGGACTGCTCTATTTTTTATTTTCGGTGAGCTCCATCCATTACGGAGGGGGAGGAATCTGGCGGCTAAGAGCCGAGGCTGGGACCAGAAGGCAGTGACTCGGCAAGAATCGCTCAGGCCGGTCCGGGAGATCAAGGCAAGCCTGTGCTGAATCGCTCAAGGTAGTCCGTAGCAAACTGATTGCTGAATTCCAGAAGTTAAAATAGCAGCAGCGATTGTTGGAGAAAATTCAGCAATAACGACACTGGTTTGGAGATATGAATTTCAATTTTCTTCCATTTTTTTGGCTGAGCATTCGATTTGTTTAATGTCTAGTTTCACTTCTGGAGTCCATCAAAAGTGCTTTGCTTTTGCCTAGAACGGTGAATCCTGATTGCTAGTTGGTAATATTTTAAATGGTCAGAACAAATTGCTTTATTCTTATTGTTTTAGTTAATGACTTTATTGTCATGAGTACGCTAAATTTTTAAGTCCTGGATTATGATGAAGTTGCTATGATTTAGTATGAATTGTGATTTTAGTTATGTCAATTGGCTGAGTTTTATCCATTGATCTTATTCGCTTAATTGATTATGTTAATTTCTGGCCAACTTTAGTATGATTAATTAAGTTATTTGAGTGGATTAATAGAGTACATGCCATACCTATTAGTTCGAGCTCTTTTGGATAAAAGAATAGATAATTCAACTGTCTTGTTAAGTTATCTATTTGGTTCTCAAATCGGGTTTCCGTAGTTCTTTTGTGATTAATGGATTTTAACTATTGAATTAATAATTTCTATTTGGTTAATAGTTAAAGTACATGACTTATTCTGGACGCCATACAGAATAGTCATATTTCTGTCTAGAACGAACCCTCACTTTTAATTGACTAACTAAATCACAAATACTAAAAATTAGTGACATAATCATAATCCTGGACTATCTTTTCTCTTGCTAAATTCTCAATCAATTTTCTGGCAGTTGTTTAATCATATTATTTATATTGATTTAAATTCCTTGCATTCATTTTAATTCAAGGTCTGCATTTTCAGTTTCAAATCAAAACACTCTCAAAACTCTTTTTAGTTAAATATAATTCCATTTTATTAATAGTTTTCCAATTACTTAGTTGCATTTTCCCCATGGATTCGACCCTTACTTGAGCACTATACTACCGTGACTTGTGCACTTGCGAGGACTTATAAATTGTCTATCAATTTTTAGCGCCGTTGCCGGGGAATTTGTTTAACTAGTTTTTGGAAAATTGTTAATTTAGTTTTATTTTAGTTAGTTGTATTTGTTTTTCTTTTCTTTTTTTTTCGTTTTTTTTTGTATGCTTGGTCGCAGGTCTCTTAATCCAGATTTGCTATCATTGAACGACCAAGTAGATTTAATTGGCAAGAGGATAAAAAGGCGACTGGAATTTGTTCCAAATCCAACAATGGGTGATGCTACACTGATGAAAGAGTTTGGGAGGCCAACTGTAGGTGTCTCCCTGTCCTGCATTGTACTGAGTGAGGCTGCCCGAAATTATGATCTCAAGACAGTTCACTTTAACCAATTGTCATCTTTCCATGGGCTTGCTTTTGAGGATGCACTGATTTTTATTCGAGATTTCTATGGCATCATCCAAAATTTCCCTTTGCAAGGAGTGACTGAAGATGAGCTGAGGATGAGGTGTTTTCCATACACTCTCAAAGATGCTGCGAAGACATGGTTTATGTCTTTAACACCTGGTTCATTGCGCACATGGGTTGATGTCTACAACAAATTTATTGGCAAGTATTATTCTCAGTCTAAAACTTCAGAACTGAGGAGAAAAATTGCCAATTTCACTCAAGCTGAAGGTGAGCCATTCCATGAGGCGTGAGAGAGGTTTAAGATGCTGCTCACTCAATGTCCACACCACAGCTATTCACTAGCGCTCCAGAATCAGACATTCTACGATGGTTTGACACAAGGGAGCCAAGCTATTGTTGACAACGCTCCTGGAGGAGCAATGGGAGAGAAGACTGCAGAACAAACTTTAGGGCTTTTCGAGATGCTGGGAGCCAATTCACAAGAGAAGAGTGTGCGGGGCAAGACTCCAGGAATTTATGAAGTGGGAGTTAGGACAGAATTAGCCATCCAAATATCTGATCTATCCAAGCAAATGAAGAACATGTGCTCTGTGATGACAACAATGAGCATGTCTACTCCCGTTGTGCATGCAGTACCTGAAGGTGGTTTTGAGCAAGCCCACATGATGAACTCCTACAACCAAGGGCTATAAAACGATCCATTCTTCAACTCCTACAACCCTGGTTGAAGGAATCATCCTAATTTCTCTTGGAGTAACACGCAACAAAGCAATCAGCCACCACCGATGCAAAAGAAGCCTTCTTTGGAGGATACTTTGCAAACTTTCATGCAGATCTGCACCCAAAATCAGCAAACAAATGAGCAGCGATTTCAGCAGAATGAAGCCTCTTTGAGGAAGCTAGAGATACAAGTGGGACAGATTGCTGAGTGTTTACAGGGCCATGTGCAAGGGAAGCTATCGAGTCAATCTGAAGAGGCCAAAGCTATCACGGTTCAAAGAAGTGGGAAGATAATTGAGAAAGATGAACGACAACCTATTTCTAAGCCACCAGAGAAGGTAGAAGCTGAAAATAAAGAAGTTGAGGCTGATCCAGTAGATGAGGAGATCGGGCTGCACAAAGGTGAAGATCCATATGTGCCGCCTAAGCCGTATGTTCCACCCGCTCCTTTCCCAAACAGGTTTAAAAGTTCGAAGCTTAACAAATCTTTTGATGATATTTATAAGTTGCTATCTAAAGTTAATTTGAATTTGCCTCTTCTTGACATGATAAAAAACATGCCTGCCTACGTTAATTTTTTGAAAGAATTGAGCACCAGAAAGCGTAGGTATGAACCGAATGAAAAAGTGTTTGTTTCTAAGGCGGTTAGTGATGTTTTGCAAAAAGATTTGCTCCCAAAATTAGAAGACCTTGGCAGTTTTATTATCAACATTAATTTGGGGAATTCTAAATCTGAGAAAGCTATGCTTGATTTGGGGGCAAGTATTAACTTAATGCCTTATTTTGTTTACTTGAAATTAGGGTTGAATGAGTTGAAATCCACTACTATGTCCCTGCAGCTTGCTGACTGCTCTATTAGATATCCTAGGGGCATAGTAGAGGATGTTTTAGTTCAAGTTGATAAGTTGATCATTCCTACTGATTTTGTGGTTTTAGAAATGAGTGATCAGTGCAAATATGTGAAAAATATGCCAATCCTACTTGGTAGACCTTTTATGGCCACAGCTAAAACTATGATTGATGTTCAAAATGGAAAATTGACCATAAGTGTGCTTAATGAAACTGTTGAGTTTTCCATTTTGAAATCCATGAGTATGTCGGCTGATTCTAGTTCTTGTTTTGCACTTGATATTCTTGATCCTATTGCTCCTTTGGACAAGTTGGAGGAAAATGATCTTGAGAAAGGTTTTAATGAGAGTGCAAAAGTTTGCAAGAAGTGCATTAATTGTTTGCATCATAAGTCCATTTTAAGGAAAGATTTTAAACCTGGAAAAAAAGTGTTGTTGCTTGATTCTCGTTTAAGATTTTTTCCAGGCAAAATAAAGTTAAAGTGGATTGGGCCATTTGTGGTTCGCCATTTTGGTGTAATAGTTTAGTTTGTAAAATACTTTTTATTTGTTTAGATTAGGTTTATTCTGAACTCAAACAGGTCCAAGATCACTCTAGGGGCCATGGGTGAACATCAAAAGTGGAAGGAAAGTGCAAAATCTCAAGACAAAAGAAAGATCCTGAATTTTTGTGTTGTACTCGGTCGGGTATGACCTATACCCGATCGGGTACCCTGCTGAAAAATCAAATCGGATCAATCCGGGAACAAATCAAAATGCGGGGAAGATTTTGGCCATGTTCGAATGTCATACCCGATCGGGTAGCCGACATACCCGGTCGGGTATGCATGACGATTTTAGCTTCCGGGAAGCTTCTGAGTGTATCCGATCGGGAGCCATATATACCCGATCGGGTGCACACCCCTGCACACTCCATTTCCCTATAAATACATCCCTTTCCTTCTCAGAAAGACAACCAATTCCTATATACTTCTAAGCTCAGTCTAGAATAGTTCTTTCTTTATATTTTCATCATGTTTAGTCTCCAAATGAGGAGTTAAACTCTTCCATCTTGGTTTTGCTACTTTGAAGCTTAATGAATTTGTAAGTTGTGAGTTATTCTCTTTAATTTTCTTCCTTGAATATTAATTCTTCCTTTAAATACTATTTCTATATCAATGTTGGGGAGTGTTACTAAGATGACAATTAGTTAACATCTTGACATTAGTTATAGTAATAGTTATTTCTTCCTCTATGTTAATATTGAGGAGTGTTACTAAGATGACAATTAGTTAACATCTTGATATTAACTATAGTAGGATTCATACTCTTTAATATTCTTCCTTGAGTATTAATTAATTCCTATTCATATTTCATATTAATATTTTGAACATTACTTAAAAGATCAACTAGTTTTGTTTCATATATTAATTATTACTAGAATCAATCAATTAATACGCTTGTTATTAATTCGGTTCTTCAACGGTAGTAAACTTGGATTGTTAATGCATGCGTCTCATGATTAATAATCTAAGGGGAATTAATTATATTGATTAAACCAATAAGCGGGATCGACTGAGTATTCGAGAAGAAGATAGTTAAAGATATAACCGGGATCGACGAACATTTCATTAAGTGGATAAAAGCAAAACCAAGTCTTCATCTCTATTAATCAAACTCATATAGGTTGTTCATCTTAGTATATTTAAATCAAACAAATCAAACCCCCCCTTGTTACTATTTATATAAGAGAAAAGTATTCCTTTCTCTGTGGATACGAACCTTACTTCACTATTCTACGTATAAGTGCTAGTATTGAATTTATTTTGACGCACCGTGACAAAGTGCCCGTCAGTTATACACTTGATATTAATAGAAAATCTAAGTGGTTGCTCAAGCAATTCAAGTGACAATTGGTTCTAAATTATACTAATACTCCGTCGAGATATTAGCGTGTACCGGTTAAGCTAGTGTTAATCCGTCAATTAAACATTAAACTTAACTAGTCGAAAAGAGACAATTGAAATTCACCACGATTCCCTAACTATGTCTAGTTAGGTAAATCATGTTTATTTTACGGACTCAAGTATCATGCCTCACCCGTCGGTGCAATACATGATACCTAACAAGAATTAAGCACGAACTCAATGCAAAATTCATTAATGAAATTCATAAAATAAATTTAATTGGAAAATATAATATGTCGATTACAATGGAAGAACCGAATACAAGAGATAATCACTTAATACTAAGCTTTAATCCCGAATCCTTTGGGTAAAATTCTAGCCAAGAAACATACTTAAAGTAGGGAAGAAATCACTTTTCAATAGCATAAACATGAAAGTAAAAGTTCTGAAATTGAAATACAAGAACTAGAAATTCTGAAATTAAACTAACTAATTGGGTCAAGTCTTCATTATCATTCACACATAAGCCATCCATAAACATACATAATAAGTAATTGAATTCCCTGCGGAAAACATAGTTTAAAAACAAATGCCACACGGGGCAAACATGAGCACGCAGGCTCTATAGTGAAAAGTATCCATGAGCATGTTTTATAAATGTTCAAACAGAATGGAGGAAGCACGAACCAAGTCTTCACTCCCAGATGATCGCCCGAGCAAGGAGCACAGGTAGCAAGCTCTAGCCTCAACCTGAAATGGTGGTGGGACACCCCCGAAGGGGTCAACACTCTATAGGGCTATAAAGTGCTGATGTGGATGACATCTAATAGATATACAACAAATATTTCAAACACAAGACCCTCAAATCGGGTGATAATATAATCTAGGCCGTAAACCCAAGTTACCCCTTTCCAAAATATACTTACTTTATATATAAAGTCAAGTAGTCGGCCCGTAGGCCCAAAGTTTGTTTACAAAACATAACCCAAACCCCGTGACCCCTAGTCACGACAGTACATAGGGTTCAACCCTAACACATATGTTTGCATTTCTCGAGTCCAACTCGACTACATCACCATGCACCTTATATAACACAAGTTAATTACTCCACCATGCATTTCTCGAGTCCAACTCGACTACATCACCATGCACCTTATATAACACAAGTTAATTACTCCACCGTGCATTTCTCGAGTCCAACTCGACTACATCACCATGCACATCATAGGCTACAACCTCATATCTCCCATGCATTTCTTGAGTCCAACTCAACTACATCATCATGCATGTCATCAATCACCACGTCATGTCTACCCAATGCAATTCTATGAGCACGGGCTCAAGTACATCTCTTTACATTGGCATTGTAACACCCCCAAATTTCCCACCCAAAAATACATTTAAATAATAATTTATTGGAAAGTAATACTCACTTTATTTGAAAACATCAGAAAATGTGCAGCGGAAAATTCAAAGGGAAATAGGGGTGCTACCGCCACACTCGATTCTCTTAACCGAGTGCACAGGCTAAAACAACATAAACTTCAAAATCAAAAGCTCACTGATTAAAGTTATTGAAAAAGAAATTTACAATGATTTACTAATAATGTTTTCTAGCGAAAGCTCTTTCTCGAAATCAACTTCAACATCGATCAACTCAACACCTGTACAAAAATCATGTACAGAAAGAAAATAAAAGAAACAAACATTAGCAATAATGCTAAGTAAGTCCCACCTAACCTTTTAAAATAATAATAATAGTATATATATTAATTCGTACAACCATTAGTATAAAAATATTTTCAAAACAATTTATAAATCATAAGCACACGATATCTATACAAAATCACAATCACATAACTCGTGAATCGTAATAATTCCAAAATACATGAAACATCAAAATTTCTCCTCTATTAAATTTCTCCAAAAATCACTTTGTAACTAACTTCCTAGTAATTTAGAAGGGCGGTGCTCAACACTCTAGTTGAGCCCGGTGATCCGTTGTTATGTACGGCCACCCCGAAACTATCGCCGATACCACAACCGCTCCTTGGAAACGGAAACAACTACCTTAAGTGTGTACACCCCCTAAAGGTATTCCAAGCCCTCCAGGTTAGTAAGTCGATCCAGGGAGCCGGAATGTTTTCTACCAACTACCCCACCTCAAAAACTGAATGATTAGGAGCTACTACTACCACTACTACTCAAAAGTTGGGATGTTTTCTACCGACCGTCAATTCACCTCAAACCAAACCAACAAAAATTGAGTAGTAGTAGACCTAATCACCCTCCACATTTTAAGGGACGTGGAAAACCAACACCACGGATTTCTCCCGTGATGCTTACCTTTTATGAAAATATTTATTCTTCTTTGTCTTCTCAAAATCAATCGAAGTTTGTACTTCAAAAAATTCCCTTTGCATCAAACTCCCACAAAGATAATAAATTACGTATTATTACAAAATCTCCCAAAATCGTATACAATAACTCATATTAACAAACCAATATATCAATTACTATCTCAAATGCAACCCTTTCATATAATAATATTTAATCAAAATTCAGCACATATAAATTCAATTCTCAAATATGCACACAAAATATTTAGAAGAAATTACGAAGAAAAAGAACTAATTTCGATTGACGTGAAACTTACCTCAAATCGCGATAACTCCTAACCAAGACTTCTATGTCGATCTTATCGAAATCACCTTCTAAGAATATTAAAATTCTAATATCAATATATATCAAAATTATAGGTTAATTCATCTACCCTTTCTTTATAAATATAATAGTCCATAATTTAGTCCACCCATTATTATTATTATTATTATTATTATTATTGTTATTATTATTATTATTATTATTATTATTATGGACAGCCCATCAAAATACACGGCTCAGCTACCCTATTCCACCCGGCCCGGAACTGAAAGAGAAGAAGAAGAAACACGGAGTACGAACTGTCTTCTTCGCAAGTGGACGCCGGCGACTTGGCTACAGAACGGCGGGGCTTCTTCGGAGTTAGATTGATCGATAGCTGCAGCTCTCCTTTCTAGTGGCGACGACGGATCGGTCAGTGGCGGCGCAAGACAGCTTTCCGGTCGATCGACGGCGGCAACAGAAATTTGGTCTGGCGGCAACAGCCTTTCTTCTCCGGTGAATTTCCTCTCTCTCGTTCTCTATGGGTATTCTGTAACTCAGTGTTCGTATTGTTTGTGTCTTCTCTCCCGTTTTGGTAAGAGACGCACGCATGTATATATACTTCCGTTAGTTTTTGCCTGTTGGTTAGTGTCCAGCCGTTTCATTTTTTTGCTTTCAATTAGTTTATTAGTTGTTTAATAATGATAATGATTATTGGAGTTCAACTACGTAACCTCCCGTTGTTGTTAAATTCACTTCTACGATCTGTATATTTTGATACATGTATGTGTATGTATGATTGTATTGTGTAATCATGTAATATAGTGTTGGGCCTGGATTTGTCAAGCGGACCGGCCCACGTTGCTCTAGGGGGTTTGTTAAACATCAAAGAACGGCCAGTCCATTTTAAAGAGTCCAACTCAATTAAGTAATGTGACGGAACAGATAAGGATGCTGATAGCTGGTGGAGGAAGTCAAGGAACAGATTCCACATTAGTAGGACGGATGAAGTTTCGCCAAAAGATCCGGAGCCCACGTTAGGAGATAGAGTTGGAAAAAATATAAATAACTTAGGGAAGAAGGAAAAAGAGAGATCAATTCTGAAAAAATAGCTTACTTTCATTATTGTATTCATATCAACAATCATAAATTAATACATACTATATTTCTACTAGTGGTAATTCATCTTGTGCGATTCCCGATTCATACCATTTGATTGTTAGGAAAAATTCAGATAAATTGCCTAAATAATTTGGCGCCCACTGTGGGGCATCGTGCAAGAGAAAGATCATCAATCATGGCCGGAAACAACCCTTTGTTGGAGGAAATCCACACTCAAATGGAGGCAGTTCGAGCAGAATTTCGTCAAGAATTGGCGGAAAGGATGGCACATCTCCAGCGAGAAAACGATCTGCTCCGGTCCCAAGTTCAGTCAGCAGTTTCGATCGCATCCAATTCCAGTGGTAACCGAAGAAACGATCTCATGCCCGTGGTCACGAGGCTTGATTTGGAATCCACTCCGGCGGTGATGGATGCACCCATTGTCACTTCCGAGCCCATCTCCCTCACATTGGGCCTCTCACCCGCCGGG